CATAAACAAACCAAATGATTTTAAAGACAGAATAAACCAGTCCTACAAAATAGCAAGTTTAGCATTTGATTTAACGAGTGATGGCAAACCATGGCTTGTCCTGCCCTGCAGTTACTGTGGTGGCTCCAGCCGCGCCTGGTGCTGAGCGGCCACACCCACAGTGCCTGCCACGTGATCCACAGCGGAGGGGTGCCCGAGGTCAGCGTCCCGTCCTTCAGTTGGAGGAACCGAAACAACCCCAGTTTCATCATGGTAACATTAAAGTTTATTGTCGTTGGAAAGCTTTCATAAATAATTAAGTCAACACCAGTATCAACTATTTAATTGCTGCAGTCTGTAATAATATACAAAAGCCATACATAAACTATCTCCCCGCTCCTTACACACTGATACTGCCCCCTCTCGAAACCCCTCTCTGGGAACACACACAGAACGTTACTCCTGGGGTGATTAACTGCACAGTGAGGGAGAAGGAGCTTACAGAGGGTATTTCATCTTTCAGGGGGGGTCCAGTGTCCTCAGATGTTAGACCCTGTGTGAGTCTGTATGTGTGTGCATGCGTGTGTGTGAGTGTATGTGGGGGGGAGGGGACAGGAAGTTGGTCCTGTCCAAGCTGTGCTTGGTGCTCTAGCGGCAGCGTAACTTTCTCGTTTCTTTTCCAGGGCAGTATAACAGCCACAGATTATTCCCTCTCCAAGTGCTACCTTCCCCTCGAGGGCACGGTCCTGGCCACCTACTGCGGAGCAGCTGTGGTCCTCCTGGCCCTCTTACTGGCTCACTTTGAGCTTTTAGCTTTGCCTTTCCTTTTTGGCTGGAACCTGCTTAGGAAGCATAAGGTGATATGAAAAGGGGAGATTAGCATTTAGTAATATCAAAGCCAAAGAAACCGAACTTGGGGCAGTTCTCATGTTAGAATCATATAGCTGGTAAGTCCAAACATAGGCCATCTGTATGCACATCAGAGGCATTCTCAACCACGGATGTGAATCTCTGCAGAATAAATAATCTACTGAACTCTTCTCATGCTATAAAAATGGAACATGTATTCTACAACAACTCTGTTTTGTCATTTTTATCAAATATATGTATAATCAAAGACTATTTGTACAGTATTGAAGTGCTAATTCATCATTTGCATGCACTACACGGTCCTGACGCCCCGAGGGGTCTTCAGCACC